GGGGGGGGGGGGGCGTGGGGGCCCCCTGCGTACTCGGTGGCAGACCCGGAAGTGGACCCAGAAGTGGACCAGAAGTACTTCTGGGTTTGCTGCTGAGCATGCGGGGGGCCCCTCCTGTGGGACACTCCATCCACCCCACCATCACAGCATTCACGAGCTGCACCTGGTACCTCAAGGTATGTAAAAAAAAAAGCATTTAAAGATGTGTCTATGGCTGAATCTCTGATTCTCCAAATCAGCATCAAATCTTCAGATTCGGATTCAGCCAAATTGAATCAGGGACAGTAATCTGAATGAACGAACTGAATCACTGTCCCTGAATCGGGCTGAATCCAAATCCGAATCCTAATGGAATACAGCCCGTTTCGCACATCCCTAGTAATTAAGTCTCAGCACATTTGAGTGCCATGCCACTTACCACAAAAGAACCAGCAACCACAAACTAGAAACAGAAACTAGGGGATACAGATATTGAAACTCAGTTAAAAACAAGTCTGAGCGTGCCAGGGGAAAAACAAAACCCCAAAAAACGTATTTTTGGACAGTGGAGTAGAGACATATGCTTTTCCAAATTGACAGGCAAAATAAATAATGCAATTAAAAAGAAGATAAAAATGACACACCATTCTAGCAGTAAAAGTTAAAAAAAGTCTTCAAAATATGCAACAACCTGCCAATGAAATAAACAATAAAATTCAGGGAACCATTATTACTGTCAAGTATATCCTAGATCAACATAAGTCAAAATCTCTGAGCATTTCATATACCTCCACAGGCACAGTCAATTTGATGTAGTTATTTGGACCCCAGAGATATTGCTGTTCACCAGAAAGCAAAACTTTAATTTAAAATATGTATCTATACAGTTAGCCTTTCAAATTAGACTATTGCAAGAATAGTCTTTTGAACAGAAACAAGGACAACTATATCTGAGACAAATTACTGCTCTAAGAGATGTGATTTGTCCTATTTATCTTAATTTAATTTTGTCTGATACTGATACAAATTTAAAGAGTAGAAATAACAAAAATGTTGGTCAAGTCTTGTGTGCTAAATTTGCAGCTAATATGAGTGCCTAATTTGTGTGGATGCTCCCTAGATTTGAATCTGCAACTGGCCAGATAACAAAGAGTAGAAATAATTCTGGTCTTATAAAACCCTCAAATCATTTTTTTCCCCTACTGAGTGACATTATGCCTGCTTGGATGTAATTTGGGATCACATAACACTGATCTATATTTTAGTCAAAAGCTGAAATTTAACAACGTAAGAGAATCATTTAAAATTTCACTCACTTTCTCTCTCACCTGTTACTTGCAATAAACAAGAAAGTGTTTGAAGTAATTAATAAAATTAGAAAACATAAAATGGTTAACGTTTCCAAAAAAAGCTGTTGTCCTAAAGTCTGCATTAACAGTAAGATGTTTTCCATTCTAAAGTTTACAAGGGGAAAACTAGGCACAAGACATCTGTCTCTGCTATCATGAGCTGTACTGGATTTTGTGCTAAGACGGGCCACCACTAAATCCTAGTATTTTGCAGATAAGTGTTAGGGGATACCCAGGAGAGCAGGGACCCCAAAAAAGGCTCCTTTGAGATTTCCTGAATGCACCAGAATTGTTTCCCCACACAAGAGCATGAAGAAGAAGATACTGAGGAAGACAGGGTTTCTGACACCCATGAAGACACTCACCATGACAGTGCTCATAATGGCACTTTGCTTCAAACATGCTACGTGGTAGGTTACAATACCATCACTGGCAACGTGTAGGGGGCACACGGGGGTACACATGCACCTCCTGATAACATGGGTGCACCCCCTGACAGCCAGCACTCCCCAGTTAGGCAACAGGTGGGGGGGCAGGCGGGACCCCCTTCCCAGTTGGGGTGATTGGCCACGAAGGACCCCCCTGGTTGCTGACTGGCTGCTGTGGGGGCATATACCCCCCTGACTCAGGAGGTACCAGTTGCCCATGAATACACCAGTGCTAGGGCTATAGTAAAAAAAAGAAAAAGACTTTTGCTTTGGGTACCCTGGCAATTGTTATTTTAAGGGGATGTGCTGCACCAGTCTGACCCTGCTCAATTTTTACTGCCCTGCCCCCTAAGTCACAGTCCAAGTGATGACC